CAATTCCCTTATCACTGAAAATTTAGACAAGGGCTTAAACTCAGTGCCTCAATCACTTTGCAAAAATTTTATATTTTTGTTGAACTGAGTTTCTAACATATTGATGAAGTGCATGCTGTAAGACAGGTATCTGATTTGTTTTTTAGGCAAAATAACCAACAAAATCTGGATTTGTGATCAACAAAACTTATATAATAAAGATGGCCATGCTTGGACTTTGTGGGAGCAGGTCCCCACAATTCAGTGCAAATGAGTTCAATGGTGTCATAATGATCAGACTGAGATAAGGAAAATGGTAACTTATGACTTTTGCTCTTAACACAGGAATCACAAAGGCAGTTCATTCCATTAGGATCAAAGGGGACATTACAATCATAAAGAGCCCTCTTAACAACATCATAAGATGGGTGTCCTAATCTATGATGCCACAGTCTGAATTATTTCTTGAAGTTGGAATGAGCCACAATGACTTCAGGATGGACAAAGGTATTATTGAAAGCATAAATAAAACTACTCTTAGGGCTAGATAAAATTTGGTCTTCACTCTTGCAGATCAAAGTGAATGTGTATAGGCCATTTATAACTTTTCCTCTCAGCAAAACTTCATTTGAGGCTTGATCCTTCACAAGACAAAAATTTGGGTGAAACTCAAAGAAGACATGATTATCCTTAGAAAATTGAGACACACTGATGAGATTTTTAGTAATGTCAGGAACATGAAGGAGTTTATCAAGCAAGAAATTATGATCATCATTATTCTGTGAACTTAAAAAAAGAAGTGCCAATGTGAGAAATTTTCAGACCTGACCCACTCCTATCTGCACTTTTTCATCTCAATGGTAAGTTGAGGCAATGTTCATTTCCCAAAGTCATAAGTGACATGATTGGTTGCTCCAGAATCAGAAAACCAAAGCTGGTCTTGGTTTGAATCTGCCACACTTGCTACACCATTGACTGATTGAGAAGAGGTGCTATGAACTTAAGCCACGTTGATATGGTTCCCTTGGCCTGTGGGGTTAATGTTGGAAACATAACTCAGATCAGCTCTGTAAAAGCATTTGTCAACTGTATGATTTGTCCTATGGAAAATTTGGCAAGCTGGTTTGTTATTTGACCTTCCTTTGCCTCTTCCATAGGAGTTTCTTCCTTTTTTCCTCTACCACCTTGGAAGAAGTTGTTGTTTCCTCGACCTTTGTTTGCCTGAGTGAAACCTCATCTCTTGTTTCCCTGAGCAGCATAGTTGACACTTGGCATGGATCCCTCAACTCCAGTCAAGATATTAGAGTCCAGGCCTTCAAGTCTACTCTCAAAGCTCAATAATAAGCATGGAGTTCTCTAGGGGCGTATGGTTCAACACTTGAGTTAACAATGACTATTACTGAATTATAGTCACTTCCCAATCCAGTGAGGATGTAGGAGATATGTTCATCGTCACTGATCTTTTGCCCAGCAGCTGAGAGCAGGTCACAACATGTTTTGACCTTGTTGATAAAATCTCTCATGGACATGTCTCCTTTTTTTAATGTTTGGAGCTGGAGTTTGTACTGCATGATTTTGGCTCTTGACTGTGTTGTAAAGCTGATTTCCAAGGCTTCCCAGATCTTCTTAGATGAGTTTAAGCCAACAGTGGTTACATGAACAGACTCACTAAGTTATGAGAAAATCCAAGAGAACATAAGTTGATCTTGCCTTTTCCAGTTGATGTAGACTGGGTTGATGATTTTTTTACCATCATCTCCTTGGATGTACTGCTCTGGTCTCCTAGTCGAGCCATAAATGAATCCTTCTAGGCCATAACCAAGGATAGCTGCTAAAGCTTGCTGCTTCCATATCAAATAGTTAACTTTAGTGAGCTTTACTGTAATGAGTTAGCTCTGTGGTTGTATTACTGTAGGGATGGTCTGAGGAATGGGATTCATGTTTGATGGATTTTAGGAATTCAAGAAAAATGGAGACGTGAACGAGATCAAGCCCCAGGTTTTATCCTGGGGCTCTGATACCATGTTGTATCATCAAAAACCAGAAACTACAAAGCATGAAATTCTTAACATGAAAAAAATGACATTGTTCTGTTGTATTGATTTAGAGAGTGGCAATATGTTGGCTGCGGCCACATCACAAGAGTTTAAATACTAAGGATCAAGGATAAAACTCAGAGAGGATAAGGTTGAGGTAAATACAAGAATCAAGTGAAAAGGTACAAGGTGAAAAATTCAAAAATGATGTTAGTTGTCTTTTGTCTTTGCATTGGATGGTTTTGTTGTGCATGATGGTGCACCTGCACCCGATTCCTCATCCTTCAACATAATTGATTAATGTTTATCAGCATTCAAAAATTTTAGAATTTGCATACGATTTTAAAATTGGTTTGAATGTTTTTTCCTAAATAAGTGGATAATGTTTGACTTTAATAATATCCAAGATGAACTAATTTTGTTACTAAAATGTTGTAAATGGTTATCCTATCCAAATCTCAATTTTGTTTTAAAATAAAATTTGCATGGGTTTTATACAACTAATGCAGTATATGTGCGATGTACATGCTAGTTTTATTAAGGTACACATTTAGATATGGATGATTAGATGATTAGAAGAACGCAAAATGCATTATTGGAATAAATAAAATGTAACTTATATATTATTAAACACATCCTTGTACACAACATTATTTGTTTGGTCTTTTGGTGCATCGTCTATCACCACAAATTATATTAGGATTCGAGATATGCTTAAATGAATCAATTAATTACTTAGCAGGATATATACGAAATTTTGTAAGTGTATGCAATCATTGTTTATTTTGTAGGGGTGTGATTCATTGGGGTGATAAGGACAAATAAGTGTATGTAATCAATTTCAAATTTGTATTCTAGAAAACTAAACAAAACCCAATTTTTTAGGATGTTCCAATCTGATTTCATTTTGTATTGCAAATTAATATTACCTGACTCTATTTTATGTTTAAAAAAATCTAAACTAAAGAAAGTAATAGCCAAATGATAAGGGATTTTTAAATTTTAATTTTTAATTTGAAATTGGACCCGATTCCTATGCAATTCGATTTTTTTAATAAATATGATATGTTGCAATTAGATAAACATACATGTTATCGTATTTTTCCTAATTCGAAATTCTCAATTTTATGGCACATATTTTCTTAATAAAAAATGGGAGAATTTTTACTTTTACAAAATTGTCATGTCGAATTTTACATAATTTAACCTGATTTCTATGCAATCCAATTTTTTTAATAAACAATTAACCTGTTGCAATTAGTAAAAGATATATGTGATAATATTTTGCCTAATTCGAAATTTCTGATTTAATGGTAATTAGTTTTTTTTAATAAAAAATGAGAAAGAATTTTAACTTTTACGAAATTGTAAGCTCAATCGAGATTAACCTAAATTAAATCTACAAAACTCATGAATTTATGGTGCATATATAGCTGGTTGATTTTTTAGGAATAATTTTAAAAAAATAAAAATAAAAACTGCCAAAAATAGAATGCAATAAATGCTGGTTGACTTTTCTTGTTATTATTTTTAGTAAATAAGTTGTCTCTTTATATAGACTAGTGCGTGGCCCGTGCGATGCACGGAAAACTAATATTACGATTGTGTTATATAGTTAATATACTAATAAATTAATCAAGATTTACCCATCATTTTTAAATTAAACCATGTTGGATACAGTCCGACAGATGGACCGAGAACCGATTTATAATCAGTCTAGTTTGCTTGAATAAAATATTTGCTATTGAATCCGTCAACACCAGTCGATTGAACTGGTAGGATTGATACGCTTTTTTAAATAAATTTGATACATTTAAAATTATTTTCTATAAAATTACATATTTAAATAAAATGGAGATTTATAAATTGTTTACCAATTAGTTTAAACATTTAAATTTTTAAATTGTTTGGATATTTAAGTAACACATTTTATTTTAATTTATTACAAAAAGTACTATATATATGTATTTGAATTTTTAAATATATATATATATATATATTAAATCGTATTTTACAGAAATAAATTAAATCGTATGATTTTTTAAATTAAATTGTATGATTATATTAAAGCGTATTTATAAATTAAATTGTATGATTTTTAAAAAAAAATAAGAAAAATAATAAAACTACTATTTATAGGCTACATTAAATGCTGACCTATTTTTTTACTATTTTTGGTAAATAGATTCTCTCTTTATAGATATAGATATAGATATAGATTTGCACACATTTTTAAAAGAAAAAATTATTTAAAAATATTGAAAGAATTTGTTATGTATTATACAATTATTTGTTTCCTATTTTGTATTAAATTTGCATAGTTTTTAAGTTAATTTGTATTCTGGATTTGTTTTCATAAATAATTGACATATTTTTTTGCATAAAAAATTTTAAATTTGTTACCAAAAAAATGAGATTCAAATTTTGGCATAAGAATCTTCATTTTTTTTTTTAAAAGAAAAACGAAATTCGAATTTTATTACTAAATAGTTGCAAAAAAAAAAAAAATCAAGGCAAATTTTCTGACAATATGATTAAATTTGATGTTTAATGATTCACGTGTGTTTTTTCGAAATTACCACTAATAGTAAGTCAAACCTTATTTTTTCAGTCAAACTTACTATAAAAATATTTTCCAACGAACTTTTTTAAATTACTATAAAATGCACCAATCCACATAAAATAAATTCATTGTGAAAGATGAAGAAAAACAAAAAGGGAGCCAATTATAAGTCAATGGCATTTAGTTAAATTTGCTACTATTTTTTACTTTTCCCAAATCCAACAAAATTAAATGAAAAGGAGAAATACCCTTTGGAATTTAGATTATTACATCCCATATATTTATTCTCAAATCTCACACCTTTATTTTCTCTCCCTTCCCTCTATATATATAGGAAGGAACCCACCACCACCTTCACTCTCATACACAACCTCAATCTTCTCTCTCCCTCTCTACTTAAAAAAAAAAAAAAAGAAAGAAAAATGGTTTTGGCCTCTCCAAACCCTTTGAAAATCGAGAAAATAAGAGACGACATCGAACTCCCGATAATCGACCTCCGTTGGGACCGCACACGAGCCACCGTGCAGATCGTGAGAGCCTGCGAAGAGTTCGGGTTCTTCAAAGTCATCAACCACGGCGTGCCGCAGGAGATTATCTCCCGGATGGACCGAGAGGCCCACGAGTTCTTCTCCAGGCCCGCGCCCGACAAGCAGCGGGCGGGCCCCGCCAACCCGTATGGATACGGACTGAAAAACATCGGGCTCAACGGGGACATTGGCGAGCTCGAGTACCTTCTTCTGCAAGCAAACGCTCCCTACATTTCGGACAAGTCCGAGTACATTTCCACCGACCCGGAAAACTTCAGGTATAATATTAATGGTCAGATTTTGTGTTTTTTGCAGTCATCTCTGTGTCCACGTATTTAATATTAGAGTATTATTTATTCATATTTTCGAATTATATTGTGACCACTCTAAAAAAACAATATGAACAAATAAAATTAGGTCAACATTTACTAGCAAAATTGATTAATCTGCCTTAATTAATTAACGAATAAATAGTAAGACTATGTAATTCCTCCATTAATTACATTTCTAGGGAAAAAAAATAAAAAATAAATTAACAATTCATATTTTACATTTTGTCAAATATTCTAAATATTATATATTCATATTGGTTTTGTAGTGTTTCTTTTTGATGCTATATATTTTTTTTCCCTTTATTAATAAGTAATTTACTTTCTTTCCATAATAAAAGATTATATATATCATATCATATAATATTTGTCTAAACGTGTTAGAATATCAGTTGTGAGTTGTCTCACATCCACATCGTTTATACAGGAAAAATAGAGCTAATTTATAAGTTCACTTGGTCTTTATCTGAGTTTTCCTTGTCTGGGTGCGCTTCACGTGCCTGGGGCGGCGCCCGTATTTCTCCCGTTTCTTACATGATATCAAAGCCGATTTTATTGAAAACGTGCATTGACGTACCCGTTTATCCAGTTTCTTACCGACAAATAATTTTCAAAAAAAATAAAAAAAAAATAGAGGTATTTCTTAATTCATATGTAATACTAGTAGTGCTAGGCCTATGTATAGGCAGCCCATCTAGGAGTGTGATAGCCCCTCTTGGGTAATTAAGTTATATCTGATTTTGTTGATATATAGGTGTTTCGGGACTCGGGCTTTGCAAGAATTTATATCAATTTATGTAAACCATGATACACCTCTTATTAACCAGCTAGGTTTTAGGGTACATAACACAAATATATGAGGTTGTAGCTATGTACAAAAATATGAGGTTTGTAGCTATGTGTAATTATGACAAGCCTAGGAATAGTTTAATAAAAGTTGTAATTAAGTGTTCGTTTAGTTGGTACTTGGTAGTATTGTGCATGATGTCACACCGTTTCATAATATTTTTAACTTACTAATATATATGGTTTTAATAATTGAACTTTGAAATAAGCCATGACTTGATTAATTTTTAAGATCATTCAGTATTATGTATCTCACCTATGAGGTGGGATGTGTGATCTGTCGTTATTTTACTTTTAAATTTACTAAAATACCTCAAAGATATTCATCAACACGAAAATATTAAAATTGAGTTTATTAAGGTCCATCCCTAGTGGCCATCGAGCCGCTGCTCGCCAGAACAGATGGCGTCGTCTTCTTCAGTGGAGAAAACTCTGACGGGAACATCATCCATCCGATGGTGGAGCGCATGGGGTATGAGAATTTGAGGCTTCTAAGGAATAGCGACACGATCTCGATACATCGAGGGTTCTGTCAGTTGCGTCAATGCTGATCAGAGGTTGAGTAGCGGAGACGTCTTTTTTTTATGTCGACCAGCACTAAGATTCGATACGCGACATACAATTGACTTTTTTATTAAAAAAAATAAGAAATTAATTTATTAAGGTTACAGTAGGACGCATTTATTGCGAAACTAATTTTAAATGAAATTAAGACAAAAATATAATTTTGCTTAAAGATTATAATATCAATCAAAAGTTAACATTCATCTTCCATTAAGATGAAAAGGGGTAGTTTAGTTGGTAACATTTTCATTCGATAGCAATAGGTTTGAGTTTGAGTCATACATTGGGGTAAGTGAGGAACCACTATTAATTCCCTTTAAAAAAAATAATAATAATAAAGAGAAACATTCATCTTCTACCAAAAGGGTAGCGCCTAAATTTTTTTATAAGAATTAATTAAACCTAGTCACAAAAGTAACCAAACGAACCGTAAAAGTATCTACAATGCTTTGAGTTTATTCTAAAAAAATTATATGCCACTTAGAAAATATACTAATCGGTCTAAAACAAATTATTCTCCAATTCAAAAGACTGAGTTATGTTGATGTAACAACAAAAAATGAAACCCGGTCAATCTTTAATTCTATTTTAGACTAAAGTAGAGACATAGTCTCTTTGTATTAGAGTTGATTTTGTTAATTTTATATAGTTTTATCCATGTCATCCAAAAATTGGATTTATTTTCATGTCACATAACCTATACTAAACTTTAACGCATTGTAAATGCTCTTAGAATAAATTATTTATACGTAATTATATTCTTTACCTTGTTTCGATGCCATATCTAATTCTTTTTTAAAATTTAAAATTCCTCAAAATTCAAATTATCATATTCAAACTACCATTATCGTAATCAAAATCTATCAACTACAAAAACTAGTGTGAGAGCCTTAAAGCGACAAGTTACACTACAAAAATATGATGAAATTTCAATAAAAAATTACATCGAAAGTATATACCAATAAAATTTCAAAGTCAATTCCAATGGATATTTCAATGTTATTATTTTCATTAAAACTTTTCAATGAATTTTAACGGTAATTCGAACAAAAATATTCTGTTGGAATCAGTTATCAGTTGGAATTCGACGATCCCAATGGTTCATTTTCCAACGGTTGAAGTATGTGTGAAAATAAAAAATTTCCAACGAAATTGCATGATCCAACGAAAATTTATACTGTGAAAAACGTTGGAATGATCAAATTTCAAAATTCTAATAGAAAATTCATTCGAACGAAATATCCGTTGGATTTTTCGACCAACATAAACTATACTATTGAAATATTCGTTGAAACTTCAATTAGAATATATTATAGTAGAATTTTTCGCTGGAATATGACATTCTTTTTATAGTGTTAGGGATAAAATTCTTTTTATAGTGTTAGGAATATATTATAGTAGGATTTTGGTCTTTTATATGATTACTTTAAAAAAAAAAATAGCAAAACTGTTAAAAAAGTTATCTAATCTCATTTTAAAATTATATATGCATGTTTAGGGGAAACTGTAGTGTATCTTATTTATTTCAATAGAAATTTTTAAATAACTATGCCTAGTACTACAAGCAGGCTTTTTCTGCACCAAAGTTGCTGTGGTATCACTATATAGCCTGGGAAATGTGCAAATTGGCATAGCTGTCTCACTTATCATCATCAGTCTGCACATATTAACTCATTTTTCAGAGATTTGAATTTAAAATAATATATATATATATAATATAAAACAAACTGTAGAAATGGATAGATATGAATGATAATACTAGACGTGGCCAGAGCCCGGACCAGTTCACGGCCCGGCCTGGCCCGCTGGGTCAATGGGTCTGAAATCCCAGGCCCGTAACTGGCCCGACAGTTCTAAAAAAATAAAATTATACAATTTCATCCGTCGGAAAACCCGGGGCCGAAACCTGCTCGGCCCGGTCCGACATGTCAAAAATAAGTACAACATGACCTGTAGCCGGCCCTTAAAGGGTTATGGGCCGGTTCAAAAACCGGCTAGGGCGGACCGGTTCATGGGCCGGTCTACGGGACGGGCCAACCCGTGTCCATGTCTAGATAATACAGTTGTATGGGCGCTCTCTTTCAAGTAAAGATGAAGATTAGAATCAGATGAGTGACAAGTCTGATACAAAAGGGCAAATGACCAATCAAATCAATAGATTCTCAAAACAATTGTTAAAAACTGAACTTTCCCAAATATAGGGGAAGGCCTGTGTCACTACTTTTACCAAATTGTGACTTTTTTTTTGCTATAAATAGCTACTTTCTTTTGAATACAATTTTACCAACTGCCATAATTATAACTGTCCAGTTCCAAATTCCAATTCCCCAAAGGCCTTAACTCAAATTAATAAATGATATTGATAATAATGTAAAATGGAAATTACATCAGAACAAATAAAATCATTTTTATATCCAAAAGGCATTCTTGTTAGAATATCACTGGTGAATTATTTCATATAGTTTGTATAGAGAAAAATATACTTAACTTTTTACTGTACTACTCCTCTTACCATCGATTGATTTTGAGATAGAATCTCACTTGGGTTTACTCTGTTTATGGTGCACTTCACGTGCGTATGACCGCGTTCATTTTTCCTGTTTCTTACAATTCTGAACGTACGTGAAGTGCGCGGGACCGCACCGTTTTTCTCGTTTCTTATTCTGAACGTATACCCATTTTCCTTGTTTCTTAATGATGAATAATGCGTATAGCATATACATGTACAATGTATTGTGGATGACGTTACATTTACGCATATGCCATTAATTTATGGAAGGAAATATGAATTTTTGGAAAATTTTAATGTCCCGTTATGGAATGGTACCGTCAGTGGCGAAACCAGCCGGTCATCTCGGGGAGGGCCCAATTTGCCACTGCGCACAACCCCCACTCTGGCCATCCCGCGGCGTACCACCCTCACTCCGACATCGGAAGGGCGCTCAAAGGGCTTTTGTGGACGCTCTAAAAAATTTTCGCAGGATATAAAGGAATACTCTAGAGATTTTTCTAAAAATCAAACTAAGTTCGGAATTAAACTGGTATACTTAAACTGAATTGTTTTAACTCGAAAAATACTCGAATATATACTAATAAAAATCTCGGACTCAATTATAATAATAATCAAGAATTATACCTCCTTTCGAATAGACGAAAAGCTGAAAAATTTGAGAAAACGAAGCCTCGAACGATCGAACTCGTCCTCGACAAATTTGCTCCTTTTGATACTATTTAACGAAGAAATTCAAACTCCCATAATAAATGCTCGGAACTCCAAAAAATGCAAAATTTGTCCGTATGAAATCGTGCTTGAATTGTCTACACACTCCAACTCGATTCTCGTTAAACTGAGGTCACACGCAACCTTACGGAACCCCGCAAAACGGTATTTTATTCTTCTATTATGCGCACTCGACTTTGAGTTTCTCAAAATAAATGCTCGAAACTTCGAAACGTGAAATAAATTTTACGAATGGCTTCTACTGTTCTCGTGCTTTCAAGAGAGCACTCCCGCTAATTTTCAACACGCCTAACGAGGGCCGACGGTTACCCGAAGTCTAGACATGAAAATGACAATAAAATCACTGTCACTGCCATTTTTCTCTCAACTTCGGGCTACTCAAAATAAATGGTCGGGACCTCAAAATCATAAATCGATGCCAGCAACGTACTCTCCGCTTCCCGTACTTTCATAAAAGTATTTTTCGGTAATGATCGACTCGGTTTTTGAGTTCCGTCGGTACACCGCAAGTCGGCTAATTAACCAACTCAAAATATAATAAAAATGAAAAAAATATTAAATTCTGCTGCAGTTATAGTTCTCCGTGTCCTGAAACCAGGATCCCGTTTCGGGGAGGGCCCAATTTGTCTTTAAAAAAAAATTTCACGACAAAACCGGTGGCGCCCCTCCGGCCATGTATGTACTGCATGAAACCGGGGAGGGCCCAACATGCACGCTCAAAGAAAAACTTTCAGTTCCAGCAAAATCCTCCACCCCTAATTTAATTTTGTTTTTTTTGGAGGGGTCAAAGCCTCTCCAACTCATAACATAGTTTCGCCCCTGGGTACTGTCCATAGTTTTAATTATTGGATACACATATAGATTATCTTGTGTGGATAATCTACGGTAACCAACACTTTAGATTAATTTTTTTTATTATTAGTATTATTTTTTGTTCAATATTGTTTTAATAAAGTTGTGACAAGCATAAATCTTGTCTGGTTTTTGCAGCGGTGCAGCGATTGGTTACGTAGCAGCAGTAAAAAGGTTAGCATGTGAGATACTGGACATGATTGGGGAGGTTTTATCCGGTGCGGCGCACCCCACGGCCTCAGTTTTCAGCCGGCTAATCAGCGACGCCCACAGCGACTCCATCCTCAGGCTCAACCACTACCTGCCCACGTGTCATCCCAAGATCGGGTTCGGGGAGCACACCGACCCGCAGATCCTGACCCTACTCCGATCCAACGCCGTTGGCGGACTCCAGGTCTCCACGGAGGACGGGGTGTGGGTCCCGGTCAGCCCCTACCCGGACTCGGCCTTTTGCGTCAATGTGGGCGACGTGCTGCAGGTGGGCCCCACTAGATTACATGAATTACATGCATAACCAAAACGAACTCTTCTATTTTATTTTATGCCATCTTATATATATGCAATTTATATAAGTTAATTTATATAAGTTAATTATTTTTGGAATCCGGATTAGTCGGTTCCCCTGTAGATCTGGAAACCGAAAGGTCCCTGTACCAAAAAAAAAAAAAAAAATTACTTTTGGAATCCTCCTTTTTTTTTATTAATAATCTTGTTCCTTTGTTTTTTGTGATATATGAAAAGATTATGACGAACGGAAGGTTGAGGAGCGTGAAACACCGAGCAGTGGTGGACTCGTATGGGTCGAGAATGTCGATGGCCTACTTTGCGGCCCCACCGTTGGATGCCAAAATAAGTTGCATAAGTCTCGGACCGAACGAACCTCAAAAGCCACCACTCTACAAGAGCTTTACTTGGGCTGAGTACAAGAAAGCCGCTTATAACCTTAGGTTAGGTGATAGCCGTCTTAATCTCTTCAAAAATGGTGCATCATGAGCCAAAATAGTGACCCATTTTATTGTCTTATCTTTGTTTTGCACCTTTTTTTTTTTTTTTTTTTGTAGTAGTAGTAGTGAAGGGAAAATTATTCTTGGTTTATGATGACCAATTTTACTTGCTCAATAGTATTTGTATCTTGTACTTTACATATGTGGCGAAAATTTTCGTTTATCTTTGTAGAATATGTGTCTTATTTGTTTGTGTATATATTTATAATTACATACTAGAAACAACACGACTTCTATAAAACAAGTCTTTTACAAACACTAATGTTAGAATATATATTTGGAAAATCAACAGTTTGTAACATTTTTAATTTTAAATAAACGTAAAAAATATTTGACTTCCGCGCGTATTAATGCACACATTCTAAAATATCAAGTTTTGAAACTTCTGGAGTTAGTTTTGGGCGATATTGTTGGATCCTTAATCCAACATTGGGCTAATATGTGAAATAATTATTGTATTGTGGTTGTCAAATAAAGAAGCCCAAATAAAAGTGATCAATTAAGGTTTAAAGTTATTGGGCTATAAAGTATCAATAGGGTGTGGGCCTTTAATGTGTAGAAACTAATGGGTCTTCTATTTTAATGATGGGCTAAAATAGAGATACCCAATGTAACTTAATGTACATAAGGGTTGTGGTCCCTAGGTCATACGATATCGACAGATTATCTCTTCTGCATCCCATCGACAGAGAGGTTACGGAGAAAAGCTAAAGGGTTCTCTGAAAAGGTACACGATCGTATAGACCTAGAAGGCCAAATCCCCAAATCAATCACATATGGATTCAGGTACGCTTCCACTATTGAGTTTTGATTCTCAATTATTTGATATGAAAGCTCCTGGATTAAAGCGATGTATTTCGCCTAGAGTTAGTTCCAACAAGTGGTATCAGAGCCTCTTCATATTGAATTTTGGGGAATCAATTTATTTTGATTGGTATGGATTCAGTTGTCGCATTTGTATGCAATATATTTTTGCGAGATTGATTGCTGTTAAGATTCGAGAACTTTCGGATGCACGTGAATATGGTTTCAGGTTTTCAATTTAGAATATTGATCGTGTTTGAATTATTTTCACCGCAATGATTGGGTTCAATGTTAATTGGATATATTGATTTATTTAGAAAACAGGGACAGAATTTGGTTTTCTGTTTTATAGATTCAGGCTTCAAGTTTGTTTAATCAAGGCGTATGTTTATATGTAATTTGTGGACCCATTTCAATTAAACTTTCATGCCATACTTTGGATGATTATTTATATTCTTGTTTCTTGAAAGTGCAAAATTGATTGGACATAGTTCACAGCATGAACATGATGTATTTGCTGGATAAAATAATTGTTTGTTTTGGTGGTTAAACATGATTTATTCCATGGATTCAGAATTGCTTCGGCCTGAATTAGTTTTCGGGAATTAAATTAAGTCTATTTTTCGGTCTTAGAATTTTAAATTTTGGATTCTAATATTGGTATAAAGTTTTATATATTTT